TCCCAGAGCTATCTGGAGACAGCTGGTGGCTGCGGACTTCCCATGGCTGGCTGTGGCAGCCAAGTGAACCCCCGGGTACACTCTGGTCATTTCACATGCATAAGGCCACCAGGACCCCCCAAATCTACCCTGAGTCTCAGGACAGGGACATCTATTCTAGGCTGTCTTCCAAGTTCCTAGGAAGTACCAAAGCTGGCTTTTAATTGCAGGACTCTATTTGTGTCCTGCAATTTGCCTCTCATATGATTTAGGGTCCTTTTCCTAACCAGCATTTGTGGTGTCAGGTGGGGATGAGGCAGAATTTGGGGTTGCTGAGTGCATACAATTGTCAGCACAGGACTTGGACTGCTGCATGTGAGTCACTGTGAGATGTTTCTTCAATGAACAAGAGCACAGGGTGGGGTGGGGGGCAGATGTGGAGGGGTGTGACCCTCTCCTCTAGTGCTTTTCCTCTGGGAGGGGGAAGGAGGTGTGAACCCCTGCTGTTCCTGAAGGAGCTTTGGGGCTCCCAGGAAGTGTTTTTGTCTCCTAGCAAAATCCAGGAATCAAAGTGATCTTTACTACCCAATCTGCATTTACCTGTCTCTGCTGATTCAGCTATGGAGATGAGGAATCAGCCTCTCACCAGTGATTCCATGGAGTTTTAACTTTTTCCTTTGAGGATTGTGACTCTCTAAGCATAATTCCATATCCACACCAAGAAGACTCCTGCAGATATCAATATTAGATGGGGCATTTCCACACCAGCACAGCTCCTGATCTCATATAAAACATGCCAAGTGGAGCACACACACACACACACACACACACACACACACACACACACACACACACACACACACAATTCTAGATGTGAATCTCCAGGCCATCTGGTTAGAATAACTCTTGTGCTGGACTGCAATTACAAGCTATTTATCATGACTCTGGGATCCTATCATGGAGTTAACCAGCTCTCAGGCTTCTCATTTAGCAGAGAGTTTCTATATTTGAGATCTTGTGTCCCTTCCCATTAATCAGATCCCAAATCACATCTTCGCACCCTGTCTGTCCTGAGAGCTTGAGCTGTGTGTCTGAGGGCTCCCCCTTTCACAGATACACTGGGGCATCTTTCTCCAAGGCTGCAGCTGTGTCTGCTGAACGTGTAAGGCCTCACCATGGAAGGACAGAAGCTCTGCTTATGAGGACATTCACCCAGCCTTCCTGGGGTAGCAAAATTGGTGCCCACCTTGGCTTGTGGAATCTGTGCAAAGCAAAATCACAGCTAATAGTGCCAGGCAGAGCTTGCCAGGCTGAGTGGACCCTGTGGTTGCCTTTGGTGCGAGCACGGTCAATGGTATGAAACATTTAAGTAGAGCGTGTGTCTTTGATTTGAATCGTGACCATGACTAGGGTATGTTTTCAGAAAAGCTGCAAGCATAAAGCTTGGAGTCATGACATAGTTGGTGCTGGTACCAACATGACTGTGATGAAAACGGGGGAGGGGGAGAGGGTGGGAGGGAAGGAGAGGGAGGCGTTTGCAGGGCTTGGAGCCAGAGAGCCTGGTCTGTTCTCAAAGGCCCAGCTCCTGCAGTCCTCAGCCCTGTTGAGGCAGAGGATGCTCAGGATGCTCTTCTTGGAGCCGCCTCAGCCCTGGCAGGCTGCTTCCACAACCACTGGGGAACCAGCCCCTCTCCCATTTTTGTGAAGAACTCTAGGGGGCCTTTGAATTTGTAGTTCCAGGAGGAGACTGCTGTCTGTCAGCTTCAGGAGAAGTAAATAAAGTCAGCCTCCTGGGGCACTGGTTTACCACTGAGTAGACTCTGAAACCAACAAAACACAAAAACCTGTGGTTGGGTTGAGTGGAGGGGGCGGGGGAATGAAGAGAAGAGGGAGTGAGAAGAAAGGGGAGAAGAGGAGAAGAGAAGAAAAAGGATGGGAGGAAAAGAAGCTCCTACCTTACCCTGACAACCAGTAAATGAAAAACAGAACACCACCCCTGGCAGCCCTGAAACCCCAGTACCTGTGGATTGACAAGACTGAGACCTCTCCTTATCAGCATCTTAAAGAAAAACAGCCTAAAGCTCAGGGGTCCCCTTGTTCCTGCTCTGTGGCAGTAATAAAGTGGTAACAGCTCCACCTGAGGGGACTCAGATAATGAGCCTTCAGCCTCACCTGTGATCTTCACTTCCTCACTCCCTGCCCAGTTCTCTCTTCACCCGAGGCCAGTGTACTAGACAACCTTCCCATGACTGCCACGAAATGAATCTTGCTCTGCCCTCACCATGTCTCTCTCTCTTTCTCCTTTGGCGCTTGTGGGGCTTTGAACTCAGGGTCTGGGCTCTGTCCCCGAGCTCTTTTGCTTAAGGCTAGTGCTCTACCACTTTAAGCCACAGCTCCACTTCCGGTTTTCTGGTGGTTTGTTGTAAGGTAACTCACCCAGAAGCCACATTTTGGAAAGTTGGAATATTGGAGTCTTTATTATACAGTCAGCAGGTGCAGGCAGCCTGCAGCCCCCAAATACACTTAAGATGGTTAGGAAACACCCTAGAGAGAAAGAAAGAACAAAAACAATACCAACTCTCCGATGGAGAGCTGAATTAGAATGTCATGATGACTGGAGACCAGCCAGGAGACAGGACACAGGACATGATCTTGGAGACATGTGGTATGGTCTAATGACAGCTGTGCTGGTCCAGGTCTAAATAGGGTTGCAGCAGGGGGCAGGTTGACAGGAAATTCCCAGTCCCAGGCACTGGATTGACAGGCTCAGTAACCTATCAGCCAAGTGCCCGCCCCTGTCTCCAGGGCTCCGGGCATACCCATTATGGGTGAGGGCTTTTCCTTCCCTCAGCAGGAAGACAAGATGCCAGACCATACCATCCACCATGTGGCCAACAGGACGCTGGCCAGAACTGACCTCCTTACTTCAGTTAACTGGTGATAAGAGTCTTACAGTTATTCAGCAGTTCACAGAGGCATCAGTTATGGAAGGAGGTAGCACATGCTCTCACCCATGGCAGGCTCTGTGTGTGTGTGTGTGTGTGTGTGTGTGTGTGTGTGTATTTATGGCTACAAAGCTGTGTTGTGTTGGGAAGTCAGCTGTCCTGTTTGGGGAGTGATTTGGGCAGTATCAGAATTTAAACTCAGGGCTTTATGCTCGATAGGCAGGCCCTCTACCTCTTGATTCACACACTTCCAGAATGTTTTGCTCTGGTTAGTTTTGAGATACGGTTTTGTCACCAGACACAGGTGAAGATTTGTGAAGTTTCCCTTGAAAAGTAGGGACTCTTCCTTTAGGGTCCTTAACTTTGATCACAGAACAAGAATTTCTGGACAAGTCATAATTTGTAGGAAACATGGCGGAGTAAGTAAGCAGGCAAACTGACAAAAAGGCAAGCAGAAAGGCAGGGGGCACACTAAGTGTGGGAGAGAGACATAGCTCTTTGGCATGGGGTATTTCTATGATGAAGGCAGGGGGTATGCAAAGGTATGCAAAGTTAGTGTTTTATCTTTGCGCTAATCACTCCTGCTGTTACACTTTCTGAGTTTTGGGTTTTTCTTCCAGGTAAGAATGCATCCTGCCATCAAAAAGATGCTTGCCCTTGAGATAAGGAAGGTGTCCTGTTGCCTCTCTTAGAAGCAAAGATAATGATTCTAAATACCTTGTTTCTGAGTTGCCTTCACCAGGCCTCATTTTTCTCTAATTTATCCTGCCTCTGTTTTACTTTCTTTCCTTCTCCTTGGGCTGGTTTGGATTTCAGTCCTCCTATTTATGCTTCTTGCTATAGCTGGGATAATGGGGGCCTGCCACCACACCCAGATTTCTTTGTTGAGATGGGATTTCATAAACTTTTTTGCCTGGGGAGGTTAGCCTTGAACCCTGATATTCCTGACTTTGTCTACTGTGTAGCTGGGATAAGAGGCGCCGGCCACAGCACCCAGCTTTGTATTGGTTGAGATAGAGCCTTGAGAACTTGCTTCCTGGGCTGGGGCCTTTAAACTGTGAGCCACGCTCAGCAGGTAGGATTGCAGGCAGGAGCCATTAGCCCTGTGCCTGAGTGGCTGTTTCCTTATCTGTCCAGCCAGGCTCATAGTAATTATTTACCTAAAGGAATTAAGAATGGCAGCTGCAGTATGCAGTAGAGAAGCAGCTCCCGTGAAATCTCAGATCATGGTCAGATTTGGTGGCATGCTGGTTGGGTTGATGCACATGGCCCTCATCTCCTCAGACACACTGTGCACATGGCCCTGTGTCCCCCTTTCCCCCTCCTCACGCATCGAACTTGGATTTCCTCTGAGACATTTTTACAGCTGACCTCACAGAATAAAAGCCAAAGATGTGGAGGAGGCCCTGGCCACATTCATTAGCATAAGTGCTAATGTGACACAGCTGTCCCCCGGCTGTCAAACCCAAACGTGGTGTCTCTCTTTGGCATGGTGAATGTTATTTTTTTCTCTTACTGAGCCGATTCAGTGCTCAGCTTTGCCATTATTTGAGTTGGAACTTTAGATTCCTGCATTTTAATGCACTCTTCTATGAAGGATTGTTGGGCAGCCATGAGAAAATATTTTTGTTCTCACAATGTAGTCCTGGCCCAGGTAGCCAAAATGGGCAAACTATGATTTCTACAAATATTATCATTTTCTGGAGCGTGTACTGAAAGGAAACCTGAGCATGGAGCTGGAGAAAGTGTTTCTTTCCACATTGAGTTCTCTGGCAAAGCTGGCTTCTAGAGAAGAGGCTTTTGAAATCCTCTCCTGTCTCAAAAGTATCCAGGCTCAGAAGTTCTGTGCTGATGGCGCTGCCTCCGAGAGAGAGAGAGAGAGAGAGAGAGAGAGAGAGAGAGAGAGAGAGAGAGAGTGCAGTCTGCTCCCTGGGATGAATGAAGGCAGGATCTGAAGAGAAAGCTGCAGCCCCTCTGGATCCTGGTTAGCCTGGTTAGGATTGGGGTGATTCTGTTTGAAGTGCATTCTGAATGTCTCCAGTCTTTCTCTTTCTTCTTTTTTGTTTCTTTGCCCAGAATAAAGAAGTGACCTGTAAGAGAGAAAAGTGCCCAGTGCTGGCCCGAGACTGTGCCCTGGCCGTGAAGCAGAGGGGTGCCTGCTGTGAGCACTGCAAAGGTGGGCAATGCTGGGTGGGCGATGGCGGGCAGGTGACAGCGTGGCTGCCTCTGCCCTGAGCCCTTGTCTCAGGTGACTTCATTCCATCTTCTTTCACCTTTCTATGTTGTTCAGTTTCTGGATGGGTACAACAAATGCATTAGGAAGGAGGTGTGTGTTTGTGTGTGTGTGTGTGTGTGTGTGAGAGAGAGAGAGAGAGAGAGAGAGAGAGAGAGAGAGAGAGAGAGAGAGAGAGAGAGAGAGAGTGCTGTTGGGGATGGAGACTCCCCTGGGCATGGCTGAAAGAACAGTGATCATGAGCACATTTGGGTGTTTTTTTCCCAAGACAAAGTGTAAACATGATGCCCATACACACGTGTACATACATACACACATGCATTCACATATAAGTTCCAGCACTAAGTTTTTCCAGGCTCTACGCTGGCCCTGCCTTCTTCTGCCAGATGAGTGTTTAAACCCAGTTTTTGTCATTTTGGTCCCTATAAAAGTTTCCCTTCCTTCCAAATGAAACCTCACTTCCTCTGCTTGTCTTTGAAGCAGCTCTCAACCGCCTTCCTCCAGCCCCGCTGCCCAGGGCTCTCCAGTGCTCATGCTCTGTCTGGGACGTGCTGTTCCCCACTCACCAGCACATGGCCCTCACCCAAGCTTTCTTCCCTCCCATCCTGGCCAAGGCCACAGCCAAGGCCACCAGTGCCCACGGCCCCAGCCTTCATTCTGTCTGCTTGGCCCCCTTGGTTGTTTCTTTCTTGTCACTTAAAGCCAAACCTGGGGTCTGAAGTGTCTGGTGTGCCTACAGATAGAAACTATCATTTGGGGGTGCCCTCAGGCCGTGCCAGGGCAGGAGTGTGGGACGTGAACTCGGGGTTCAGGCCGCTAAGTCAGACCCAGCAATCCTGGCTAGAGAACTGTTCCTCCCGATTCATGGCCGCTGGGAAGTGCAGAGAATGGGACTTTATTTGGAACTAGAACTTTGCAGACATAATCAGTTACGAAGAGGTGGTACTGGCCAGGGTGACTCCAAATGCAGGATGGCTGGTGTTTCTGCGAGAAGAGGAGGAGACAGACACAGAAGAGGACCTGGGCCTGGGGACCAGAGAGGCAGAGGTTCACATCAGGAGGCTCAAGAGAGGCCCCACTACACACAGATGGGGCACTGCACCCCAACACCCTTGATGCGGGACTTTCACTTACCAGGATGAAGGACGGTACATTCTTTAACAAAAAAATAGTTTTGTTTTTTTTTTTTTCCCTGATGCTACTGGGATATGAACCTAGGGCCTCATGCTAGTTAGGAAGTCGCTACTTCTTGAGATACACACCCAACCTTTTGTATTTTCATTATTTTTCTAATAGGGCCTTGCTTGGCCTTGTTCACAATCCTCCTATTTATGCTTCCTGCATAGCTAGGATGACAGGTATGTACCACTGTACTCAGCTTTTTAATGGTTGAGATGGATGTCTTATGAATTTTTTTGTCCAGGTTGATCTCAAACTGTGATTCTCCCTAGGAAGATTCTACTCACAGGTAGCCTGAGAGCTAGGAGTAAAGTGCCCAGCTTCCTTACTATTTTTAATTAACACATCATATCTATATGTTTTTATGGCATACATACTGATATTTCTTTACAGGTCTACAATGTCTAAGGAACAGATCAGGGTAATTAGCATATTGGTCTACTAAAACATTTTTCAGATGTCTGTATTGACAATATTCAACATCCTCCTTTTGCTGTTTTGAAATACACAATAAATTAATATAAACTAGAGTCCCCATACTGTGCTACAAAATACCAGAACTTAATCTTTTTGTCGAACACCGGCCTGGTTTTATGTTCCTGTCACCCCACCCTTCTTAGCTTAGATAATCCTTTGCCATCCACTTCCATTTCTGCTGTCCTAAGCCTCTGTGTGTGGTTGTACATGGCAGCTACAGGAGGAGCTGTTACTCACCATGTCAGCTGGAGGTGACCTGGGTGTGTACTCTACCTGTCCCTCACCTGTCAAATGAAGGTAATAACTGTGGGAGGGAGGGAACTGATGGGAGACTGTATGCAAAGAACTGAGCACCATGTCTCTGTGGTAAGGACTCAGTGTCGTGTCTCTATGGTGAGGACTCAGCACCATGTCTGTCCGTGTCTGTGTGTGGACATTGGAGTCCTAGGTGATAGGAGTAGAATTGGTGCCATCTACACACAGGACAGGCATTTGGTTTGTCCCCTATGTTCATATGGAAACCGTGTATGAAACATGTGACCTGTTCTTCCTGTCCAGCTTCTTTCTTGTTCCTTTATCTTCCATGGGAAAGAAAGAGAAACATATTTCCTGAGCCTTTTTTTTTTGCCAGTTCTGGGGCTTGAACTCAGGCCTGGGCACTGTCCCTCAGTCTCATTGTGCTCAACACTAGCACTCTACCACTTGAGCCACAGTGCCACTTCCAGCCTTTTCTGTTTATGTGGTACTGAAGAATTGAACTTCATGCATGCTAAGCAAGCACTCTAACACTAAGCCACATTACCAGCCCCATCCTGAGCATTCTTTTGGGGTGTAACATGATTAGACTTTTTGAACTAAACTAGACCAAGGACGGACTAGAGGCCCCAGTATCCTGAGAGCTCTTCTTGACAGTGAAAATCTCAAGGTGTAGTGTGTGTGTGTGTGTGTGTGTGTGTGTGTGTGTGTGCGCGCGCGTGCGTGCGTGCGCGTGCGTGTGCACGCGCAGGTGCGCGTGCATGTGTGCACTTGCACGTGTGCACATGTGCGCATTTTCAAAGGCCATAGTTACATTTGCTCATAAGTGCTGGCGACTCCCAGTATTTGTTTTGTGTATATTTTTTTCTGATTAAAATAGGAGTGTATGCTTATAGGAACAACTTTGAAGAATAGTCTAAACTCATTACACATCTCACCAAGTAGAAGTTAAAAAAGAATTGGTATTTGCTAATGTCGTTCACATTAAAGTCATTACTATTTGGCATATTTAGTTTTATATTTTTCCCATGCAACATATTTGCATGACTGATATCTTACTGCTTATATTGTACTATTTTATTTTATTTTCTTCAGTTTGAGATCAGGGCACCATATCTCCATTTATTTGGGTGTATTGCTCTTAAAAGCTACAGAAGTTAAGTTGTGAGAAAGCTCAAGCATTTCTTAGGCATTTTAAGCATCTTGGTTCTACCGTTGGCTTTAGCCATGGTAAAGATAAAGACAAGAAGCTGGAGCCAAAGACCTTGAATGATAAAAAGAACAGAGACTAAAAGAGAGCTCAAGATGCACATGGAGTATTCCATAGATCTTGGAAGATAACTTGGAGGTTAGGCTAGCTTTGATTTCCCAAGGAGATCTGGTCAACCTCTTCACACTCTTTAGTGCCCTCTGTCTACACAGGGAAATACAACAATTGGTCGTTAGTGTGTGGTAGAAATTCCAAGCCTGAAGTGGCAGCTGGATTTTAACAATGTCCTCCAACAAGCTTCTATACACTCCTATGCACTCCTATTATACTCTCATGCACTCCTATACATGTCTATACACTCCTATACGCTTTATATGTACTTCTCTATATGCCTGTGAAATCCTATACCCTCCTTATGCATTTGTATATGCTGCTATGAACATCTAGACGCTCATATGCACATCCTGTACACCCCTATGCACTTCTGTCTACTCCTGTGCTCTCCTACATACTCCTATGCACTACTTCCTTTTCTTCTTTAATGAGAATGATTCAGAGATGAAACCTGTTATTACAGAAGTTTGTTGATAGACTTTAGTTTAGAATCAAGTGCTGTCTAGGCAACATTGTCTCAGGGCAGACAAATTTTATCAGATTAAATTATTTAGGATATATAACCCATACGTAAAATACAATATGCAGTGGATTTTTACTAGCAGAGAAATAGACCAGCTAACCTGGTAACTGCTGAGTAGATGGACTGAAGCCTTCTGCACAGAGGCTCTGTCCAATGTGGCTTGGAAAGCTGTTCCCCAGACAGAATCTCAGGCCCTTTGCCTGCCCTGGAGGACACAGGAAGGTGTGGATCCCTCAGACTTTCTGGAGGTAGAAGGTTATCAGAAAGGCTAGGGGAGAGTCTTCTTGTCCTCAGTGGGCAAAGAAGTGATAGTCTTGTTAACAAGATGGAGCAATAGACCGGGCTTGCTGGTGGAGTGACCCTCAGGCATCTGGTCCTGGTTTTTGTCACTTGTTTAAGTGCAGTGGACCATGGGTCAGTCGCCAGGATCATTCTCTGCTTCAGGATAAAAGCAGGCAGTGTTCAGAGGTGCTTCCTTACTACTCTGTAGTTTGAGAGACCCCTATCCCTGCTCCCTTTGGTTTAGTGCCTTTCCAAGGTCACAGAGCTCCTGACAGATGGAGACAGATGAGGCGGTGCCCAGGTTTACAGGTACAAATGCTGTATCAGAAGCTCCGGGCCTGGGTCCCTGAGTCCACATGTTCAAGCCTCCACTGAGACCCTAAGACTGCCTGAGACTGGAGATGCTTTGCCCCCAGACGAAGGGAGGGCAGGAAGAGGGGGTCGGCTTCTTGATGGAGAAATGAGACCCTCTGCTTTGTGAGGCTGTCATCTGCCCAGTCAGCATGCCCCCAGGGTGGGAAATCAATTTGTGCTTTGTAGCCTAAAGCCCGGGGCTTTTCTCTGACCATTTGCTCTCTTCCTGTTCTGTAAAGTTCACATGGTTAGAATGATGACATAAGAAAGAAAGCCAGACAGCCCATAATGGCCAAGAAAATCAAAGTCAGATGTTGACATGCTGATGAATGTCTATCAGAAGTCTTTTTCAGCTGTTTTATTGTGGGGAACACATGGAAGCAGGCGTACTTGAACCCCCCAAATTGGTCAACTATTTCCCATTTGTGTTGGGACAATGTTTTCCTTTCTAACTTCTCTCACATCCCCTTTCCTTTTCTTAGTATAATTGTATTTAATTTTAGCTTTGATTAGATGACTACTGCGTTAATACATTATCCTACTAAAATA